CAGTGCCATGCACTAGTCATTTTGCCTGCATTAGCTTTTCTCTTTCTCTGTACGCATCCACTCATAATAATGTTTTTTTACATGGGTCTTTCGCTAACAAAAAAGATCTTGAATGTCTTCTTCCTTAGAGTTCTAAAATTAAGCTCTGTCTAGCCATTAGCATGGCTATGACCCATCAGGCAAAAACTTAGAGTGGAGATACTTCAAATGGCCACAACTCTAGAGAACTAAAGGAAAGCAGCTCATCATAATTTTGATGAGGCTGGGCGATGAACATAACCACATTAGATTTTTTTTTCCCTCTTAAAAATGTTCCTTGGTCTTATGCTTAGAGATAGAAGCCAAAATGTAGCATTCCATTCTAGCCTACCTTTTGAACCTCCACCACTCCCTTTACCTATTCTCATTTTCCCGTCACTGAAGTCAAACAAGCCAAGTAGGCCTTACCATCATGCCTTTATGCTTTCCCCCTCTTATTTGCTTTCCCAGAATTCCTGTTTTCTATATCTCTATAAGGGAGACAGCCTCAGGACATAAATTAACTGTAGTAACCAAAACAGCTACTGTGCGTGTAAGGATGAAAAGATACAACCTCTGTAGTACAGGAGCCTTCAGGCCAATGAAGGAAGTAAACAGAAATTCAAGGCCTACCAGAAGGAGAAGGTCTGTGACTTGCCCTTTTTACTTTTTTGTGACTTTATATATACATTTCCAGTTGCTTACCTGAAAGAGTATAAGCACCTAAGGGAAGAACCAAGAAATACCCATCTTAGTGCCAAGCTAAGCCTTACAGCCTATATGAATATGGGATAATTTTCCTCCACAGACTCGGGGCCTTTTTTGGGTAAGCAGTGGAGGTGGGTGTACTTGGCTGTGGCTTGCACTATGGTCCCTGAATCTGACTATTCAAGCCCTTTCTTCCTGGGCTCTGGCAGTCACATTTCCCACAGGGATTCTCTGAGGATCATGGGTGAGATTCTGAGTGGAGAGCAGATCAAGTTCCCATGCTCTCCCCTCACCACACCAAGCAACAATTCCAGACCAATATCCGAGTCATACATGTCAAAGCGACATGACCAGAATGCTTGCTCTTCCCTTCTCTGATAAATCTTTCATCCTGTATTTCTACTAATCGCCTATGTATTGAAATCTCATAATATCTTCCAGTATTAGAAAGCTGAGACATTGAATTCTCCTTTCTGTCTCTTCCCTCATCTTTTGACTGGTTCCAGGGTCCATGGTTGGCCCTTGTCCACTCCTTATAGAAACTTCTGACATAATTCCTTCTTCTTTTCTGGAGCATGTCTATGAAATGAACAGGGAAGATAGCCTCTCCTTTTTCATCTTATGACCCATTTTCTTGCCCTCAATTGTATTGGATATTGGCAGAAAACATGGAGGAAGGGGGTGTGACATAGAGCTAGTCTTAAAGCCAGAGGCCTTAAGGTCAGGACAGTTTTTTACTTTCTCTGAGGTTCTGTCCTGGCCCACTTAACACACAAGATTTAGGTGTGTCAGCCCTCTGCTCCCAGAATCCCTATCTAGCATGCTAGAGCCTGGGAATAAGTTGGTAAGAACTTAGGAAGAAGGGTAGGAAACCAGGATCTAAGCCCAAAGCCCCCTCTTATGGGTGGTGGGGTCTTGGGTCATAGGGTGCATGCTAGGGACGCCAGCGACTCTGGAGAAACCATGACAGTGGCCATCTTGGAAGTGGCTGCTCCACGACAAGCCAGCTTCCCAGGCTCTGAGAATGACTATTCTGACGAGCCCTGCCTGAGCCAGGAGTACCAGATCATCACTCGGATCAATGGTGACTATGCCTGCCTGCTACACACAGTTCCCCCAATTATGAGATTCTGGCCACTGAAGGTAAAGAGCGTCTGCTAAAATGCCCTACTAGGTCCAGGTCTGCTGACATAATTGCCTATTCAGTTTTTGCGGCCTGCATAGCCCCCTTCCCTGCTACCTCTCTTCCTGGATAGCCCAAAGTGTCTACCTTGCCAGCTGCTGAATTTGGCCCTGGGTCCTTCTAATATTTCTGACTGGGACATCCACTGGTCCTTTCCAAATACCAGATAAATGCCTGTAGCACTAGGGTTTGCTTGGTTATTATGCCTCCAGGTGCCACTAGAAGACCAGAAGAGGCTCAGTTCTCCTAGTTCAGGGGACCACCTGTGCCCAGGATCACCTCCTTTTCTATAGGACCAGACAGATTTTAATTGATTGTCATGTCACAGGCTGGGGTTCAGTTCTTCTCCTATACTTGAGTCAAATATTCTGGTATTCTTTTAGTGCTTAATAAACATCTAATGATAGCAACCTCAGTTGTGTTGGTCTCCTCTCAGGGTATGGTAGAACATACCGAGAGTGATCAAAGTGTGAACTAGTTAATATTGTCGGGAACCCCTGGGAGTATGGATTGTACCTTTGGATTTGTTTTGTTTTGTTTTGCTTTGCTTGTCTTGTTTGCTCAGTCTTTATCTTTCCCATTCATGCACCCTTCTCACAACACAAGTAGCACCAGCTGGAGTACAGTGGATCTTTGATTAAACAGTACTCTACTGGTTTCCATTTCTCCTCCCTGTCATCCTGCTAGCTCTGCTGGATGACTCTTCCAATGGCAACTGGTAGTCTAATAGAGAAGGAGCCCTACTTCTGTCTCAGCACACTGTGGATGTAAAGATGAAGAGATTTCCTAAGGATTTTACACTCCAAAGGATTTTCACTTCTTTGAATCCTAAAATCTTTGGGGTAATTGCATTCTTCATAGGTCATCTTCTCTAACTCCTGACGTTTTCTTACAATGTCGGTAGGGTAAAAGCACAAATTCCTTCTCCTCAAGTAAAAAATGGTCTGTGTGTGTGTGTGTGTGTGTGTGTGTGCATTTTGTATGTACATGTTTATCCATCTTTAAATCACGTCACCATGTGAGGACTTGTTTTTTTGAGCCAGGTTTACATTGCTTCCTTTCCTCAATTGTAATTCATATCAAATCAGCTTCCTTACTCTTCATGGAAACTGCCATGTTACCACTTCTTGTTCCAGTACAGCCACACAGTCAGGTCATCAAGAACTGCCTGCCCCCGGAATGATTATCAGAAGTCAGAATAGTACACAAAGTGAACAAGGAGTTCTCACTTAATCACCATTCAAACTGCCAATCATGCTCAGCATTTTCCTCACCTCTAAATGATAACCTCACACAATTGGTGAAAGAAGCAACTTCTTCCCTATCATATTTACAAGCCTCTGAAACAGGGCTCCCATTCTATGGATACTTCAGCTTCCTTCATGAAACACCTCTGTGTCCAGACCCACCCCCCCAGTCTTTGAAAATACCCATTTTCTTTTTCTACTACCCTTAGAAAAATAATTCCTGGGGTTGAGGAGTGAATCTTGTCACATTTCTCCTGATAAAATGAATCACAAGTTCAGAGAATCCATCCAGAGGAACTGTGAATCCCCAAGGATGTCTCAAGAGTCTTTCATCTTAAGGAGTTTAGAGATTACTGGTCCCAACACTTCTGTATTACAGATAAAGAAATGAAGCCCAGAGAGAAACAGTGACTTTTCTGAAGTCATACATATCAAGTCAGTGGTAAAACAGAGACCAAAGGTCAAGTCTGTGAACTTCTAATAGTATACATTCATCACAGCAGGAATCTTCTGGAGATCATCTTTATCCCCAAACTAAAAATTTTCTCCATACAGAATAAGTCAGTAAGTGATTTCTAAATATAGAAGTAGCCTGAAGCTTCTGGAGGGTCTAAAAACAATGGAGTGATAACATGGAGCCTGTCTTAGGTAAATGTCTGGTCAGGGGAAAATGGAGGAGTGAAAAGAGAAGTCTCCAGAAGAGAGGGAAGGTGAAGTTTCTTTACAGAAGTTTCCAAAATTTTGTTCCATGGAATGTTTGACCCAGGAGATAGCCAATGGAAAAAATTTCTATGATCAATAAGCATGGGAAATGCTCCACTCTATAGGTCCATCTCAGAAATTCCCAGTGCAACATTAGAATATTAAAGACTCTGAAAAATCCTATAATAAAGCAGTTGCATGAGTTTGTGTAAGCAAGTAGTTCCAAATTTTATTTGCCCTCTGAGCCTATTTTTTTGCCCTCTTCCTCCAACCCTTGGCCTTATTTCTCAGGAACAAAATATTCTCTGGGCTGGCTACTACCTCATATACCCTATAACATTGTGGTGTCCACAGTTTGATTTCTTTCCCATAAATTCCTGGGTGACATTTAGCCCCCAAACCCAAAGTTAATGGACTAGTAGAAATTAAATCAATCAATAAACATTTATTGAATATTTTCTGTAGTCAAAATGCTGAGCAATGGTAGGGGTGGTATCATTCAAGGAAACAGTGTTTTATTCTAGAAGCTCACAGTACAGTGAGGATTTCAAGAATAACATCCCCTGGAAAACTTCCTAGCATTACAAAAGGTTATTTTGGGTGGTAAGAGATATAAGGGCACACAGCAGGATCCAGGCAAGAAGTGCTTTGCAAATGAAGGGAAAGTATAGATTGACTTTTCAAAGACTCCAGAGAGACTAGACTGTGGTGGGGCTAGGAAATATAGGGAAGAACTGTACAGAAAAAGAGAAATGGAAAATGTACTTCAACAAGGAGAAAAAGCAGGAGGAAAAGGGAATAAAAAGCAAGGTCAAGCTGTATTTAGAAGGCAAGAATGAATGTCAAGAAAGTGGGTATATTGGCCCTGTTCTCTCACATAAGCCAGGATGTTTGAATGAGAATTCTGGTGCCCTGGCTGTGAGAAAGGGGTGGGGGTGTGAAGAATGAAAAGAATAATGAATCAAAGAGCACTTCCATCCTAGTATCCCTTTATGACTTTTCAAGATCATTATTCACTCCTCAGCATTCTCATGATGTGTGTAGACACAACCCAGAGTTGTAGCTCCTAGAGCTCACTCATTTTTCCCCTCAAATGCAATGCCTTAGCTCAAAGTCACACAAAATAACAAGAGAGCATGGTGTTTGGTAAGCATTCTTATATCCAGCCAGCAGTTTATTTGCTGTGTCCCATCTGCCCTGGCCTGGAGCTGCTAGGCATGTGCCGCACTTGGGGTATTTGACAAACTGACACTCTACCACATGGAGTGTCCAACTCAGCTTGTCAAATACACGGAGTGTGGCACTGCAGGAGGCCAGACAGGGGCTCCTGTGGGGCAGGGAGATCTTCTTGGAAGATGTGGCTCTGGAAGGAAAGAGAAAAAGTAATAGTGAAGTCACATCCTAAGCCTCAACAACCTGAAGAAGCTTAAGGGACCAGCCAAAATTTCATCATAGGGATGTGAGAAAAACAGGCATAAGACTCCTAACCAGAAAGGAGATCCTAAGTGCTCAACTGGGAACTTTGCTGGCCTGAATCCTGTAGCTGTGTCATCTCTAGGGATTACCAACTTCAATGGGTTCCTCTTTGCATCAGAGAGAGGACAATCTTATCACTTCTTACCTCCCTGATTTAAGGAAATGGCCAGGCCCTTAGTCATTATCACTGCCCCCCCTTCTTGCTTAGTTCTCCCAAGATGTGCTCTCACAGTGTCACCATTATGCACATAGAGTGTGAATTTTAACATGGGCTTGAATCTTAGCTCTGCCATTAACTAGATGGACAACTTGGATAGATTATTTCATCTCCCTGAACCTAGTTTTTCCACAGCTACAAAATGTGTATAATATGTATAGTACTGACCTCATAAAATTATTGTGAGAATGACATGAAATTATGCATATAAACCCTTTAGTGTTTGGTATATAACAAATGCTCAAAAATGGTGGCTATAGCCAGACATGGAAGTACACATTTTTAATCCCAACACTCCAGCAGTAGAGGTAGGGGGATTGTGAGTTCAAGTCCAGACTGGGCTACATAGCAAGACCCTGTCTCATAAAAATAAACCCAAGGACTGGGAATGTAGCTCAGTGGTAGAGTGCTTGCCCGGCATGCTCAAGGCCCTGGTTTCATTCCCCAGAACCACAAAATAAAAACATGTGATAGATGCAAGTGATTTCTTATGGCCTTCACCTTGTATAATATGATCCCCTTATCCCATAAGGGCTCAAGAATGACAGCAATAAAAGTGCCCTTAGAGATTATCTAGTCTCACCCACTAAAGGTTGTAAATGAGGAAATGAAGATTCATATTAGGGAAGAGACTTGCTAAAAGTTATATAAAAAGTCATTTATAGTTAGCCATTTATCACCTTGTTGTGCCCTCCAGCTTTCCTCATTTATTCTTTTATCTTCTTGCTTAATATATATCTGGGAAAGGGGAGAGACACATGAGCAAAAACAGGCAGTGTGACATTAGGATCCTTGAATCTATGGCCACCAGAGTAATAAAAAAGCTACCAGGAGCAGAGTTGGGCATGAAACTTCTTAAAGAATTCCCTTAGCCATGTTCCCATTGTCAAATTCTTGCCCTTCCTAGCTGTGCCAGTTGTTCTATAAGAAAGTAGCTAGTCTATATTAAATATTGGCAAGAAAAGTGGCAAACATTCCAAGATTACCAAGAATGAAAAGCTTTTCAATGAAGTTTTTCAGCAAGAAAATACTTGAGAGTGCTTTTTCTCAACTGTTTTAGCTAAATGTAAGAGAGTAATGTGCCCCTCCAATTTGATATCAGGAATGACTTCAAAGATAAGGATCAAAAATTTCTTTTCCACTCCCTAACTTCCCTCTCTACCTACCCAATTCAGACTAAGCCTCCCAGAAGTGTAGCTATCAGCCAAAGCAGCAGTCACTTTTACCATATATGGTATAACAAAAGCTCAAATTTGGGTTCTAATGATGTCTTGGCCACCAATTAGCCAATCATGGCTTGGGCACGGCTTCATTTGGGCTTCAGTTGTCTTCTCTAGAAATGGGGACAAGACTTACCTGGTAGAGTTGTTGAAAGTGTTTCTTGAGTTTTCCAGAACTTCCTATATTGGAGCAAGAACTTGACTCAGCCCCTGGAGCTGTCAGTGAAAACTAGCCAAAGAAGCTGATTAAAAGAGTTAAATTGTGGGTGGCAGAGGAGAGAGAAATGGACTGGTACCCCTCTTTTGTCTCCATTACCTACCAACTGCAGGAAGAAGACCTGGATAATCTAAAGCTATTCACAGCCTCCCAAATTGCCCTTTCTGATTTCATTCATCCCAGGAAGCCTGGAAGGGAAGTGTGAAAAGGACTGATTCCTAGTACACTGATTTTGAAGACCATAATAGACAGTGTTGCCCCAGTATTGAAGCAGTGAGTGGGTATGCCAGAAGTAAAGTAGCTTCATTTCCACTCTTGCTGTTCTAGTTCATACTTCTGCAATGGAATACATAAAAGAAAAACAGGTTCAGTTGAAAAACATTAACTAGACAGATTAAAAGAACAGATGGAGGGCTGGAGGTATAGCTCAAGTGGTAGAGTGCCTGACTAGCAAGCGCAAAGACCTGAGTTCAAACCCCAGTACTGCCAAAAAAATACAAACTAAAAGAAGAGATGGTTACCTACATGAGATGATATTGAAGGACTCTGAAAGCTCTTCTGTTGGTTTGTTATACTATCTGAAATATCATCATTTGTCCTCATCTGAAATGCAAAATCCTCCACTGGAGATCTCCACAAAGCCATTGTTATTGAGACAAAGGATAGATCAATTATGACTAAGGGAATTGGAGGACATAGACTTGGGGACGGAAGTATAAGTAGGCATCTGGGGATTTGAAAAATAATTTGAAAAAGCATTGAAGAAAAAGAAGTCCTCAGGACCATGTCAAAAATCCAGACTACCTCTGGATGGACTATCTATATGGAGGCTCCTGTTTCTTGGTGTCTGAGTCCTCCTCAGATAGAACAAAGAGAGCACTGATCTGGGAATCCAGGCTCAGCTCTGTCACAGAATCTTTGCATAACCTTGGACAAGTACCTTCCTTCCTCTCTCTGGACCTCCCTTTTGTGTCTAGTGGTCCTTTTAATTCTGTTATTTTAGCCACAAAATAAGACTAGAGAAGAAAGGCTTTATCTCAGAGAGTGCTAAAGAATTACTACCAGCTCTCCTGGATGTGTTCAGCCCTGTTGAGAGATACATATTCAAGCACCACTATCCTTTCTCAACAGAAGGTTGACAACCATCAAAATAAGAGATATAAAAACTAAGTCTTTAGACAGCATCCAACTAATCCTTCTCTTCCTCTTCTTAGCAAAAGAAATTAAATCCTAGACTAGAGAACAGACTCATCCAAAGACAAACATTGGTTAAATGACAAAACCAGGACTACTAGTCAGATTTGCTGACTTCTGGATCCAGAGAATTTTTCACTCCCATATGACTATCTCCTAAATATATTTCTTTGCTAGGAAATATCATCCATCTGTTTCCCATCTAGAAGCTCCAGGATAGAGGGCCAGTAGGAAATTATATCAGCTTATTCTTGATCCTGAACCTCTGACAGGGATCTGAGGAGAATGGCATGGCAGTCCAAGCCACTCTTGTCTGCTGTGGACAATGCCCTGGCTTGGAAATCCAAGAAGAGAGCAAATGGATACGATACCTTTAATTGGAGTGTTGCCTTGGTCTTCAGGGGACTCAGGTTCCCTGGTTCCAAGCCAAACTCTAGCAGCCAGAGAGAGCTGGGCTTTATGTTGTGAGCAGGAAGGTCATGTGTTTTGAAGGGCCCTTGATGTCTTGAAGAGGAAAGAGAAATGAGGAAGATAAGGTTGAGGTTAGGCAACGGAAATCTGGGTGCAAAATGACAAAACAGGACTGTTGTGAAAGGGGCTGCTAATGCAGCAATAGTCCCCACTTCTGTGCCCCCACCCACTCCCAGCCAGCCTTCAAGTCACTGGCTTCCCATGCTGCAGAACAGGCAAAGCAGAAAGCCACTATCCTTAGACTCTATTTCCCTAGAGTAGCTGAGGGAATCCTAGAATGTCACAGCTGCCACATTATCTAATGAAAATCCCTGTTGTCAAAATTAAAAAGTTGAACCAATGAAGGATGAAAGGAAAGGTCCAACATCATGAAACATGCTGTGGCAAAGCTGAAATTTAATCCCATTTCTACCAAAATCATGTGTTCTCTCATCCTGTCATAATGCTTTCTGGTCCTCCAACTTCTCCCCTGGCACACAGAATCAGCTACATAATTTTCAGGTCCCAGTACAAAATGAAAATGATAGGTCCTTTGTTTAAAATTTAAGAATTTCAAGATGGTGAAGACAGAATTTTAAACCAAGTGTGGGGTCCTTCTCAGTACGGCACTCTGTGAAACTGCACTTATGAAGCTGGCCCTGTTGTCACAGCTACGACCACAGGTCACCTTCTGGCATCCAGAAGATCTACAAAATGAAAGAAAGGAAATTCACATTGATCACAGTATTTATTATGTGCTTTACATATATTAATTACTCAAGAGCCCTCTGGTATGCTTTATCATTATTCTTGTTTATAGGTGAAGAAACTGAGGACCATTGAAATAAAGTGGCTTGTTTGAGCAAACAAAACAAGGAAATAATGGAAAAGGCAGAATGCACACTCCAAATGCTAGCCTTTTTCTACTCCCCCATATTGGCCACAGGAAGGGAAAAGAAAGTCGCTGACATTGAGAAATAAAAGATAGTACTAGACCCCTAATTCAACTGTGATCTTAAGGTTGAGAAAGGGACCTGAAGGATGTGAAGAAAATGAGTGGTGTCTTACAGCCTCCCTAGCAAGTCCCTATTCACAACCCGGAAGATGATGGATTCCCATCATGCAGTGACAGCCACCAAAAATTCTAGTGACACAGAGGATAAAAGGGCCAATTCCTGCAATTCTTTCAGAGATACATTTGGGAAAGCCTTCAATTATTGCTGTGCCTGGGTCACAGTCCTCAACCTATACTAGTGGTACAAGGGCCCTGGACAGTACTCAGGTTATGGTGAATAATCCAAACCACATACAGTCTTATAAATCCAGGCTTATGGAAAAAGACAAATCACAGTGAAATACCCTCATATTATTAATGCATGCTAATTCAAAAATAAAGTAAAATTTTTAAAGAAGAAAAAAAGACTATATCCTGGGAGCCAGGAGCCCTGAACCCTAGTCCCAACTCTATCCCTTCTTAACCATGAGAGGCTGGACCAGATGATCTTGGCCTCTCCAATTCAAACATTCCTTGGCTCCTTCATGAATCCTCCTGCCCTGCTCCTCTTTACTCACTGTGGTTTCAGGGCCTAAGGCTCTGGGATAGCCTGGGATAGTGATCCATTTGCATTCACATCACTTTGCAAAAAACTTCCTTATATCAGAATAATTTATTGGCTTAGGCCTTTGGACCAATTTCTCCAGTTCTGGCTTCTACAGAAGATTCAGTTCCTGTTTCTTTTTGGTTTCTAACTAAAGCTTGGGGAGGAAGCCGGATGGTCCTGTGGGCACTTTGCTAAGAAAGGCCCTCCTTCTCCCTTCTCATACCATAGAAGTTAAATTTAGTTACTCATTCCTTTTTTTCTGCCCTATCAGTAAAGCTACTCTACTAACTTTCTTTTCCTTTCTTTCCTTCTTTCTTTCTTTCTATCTATCTATCTTTCTTTCTTTCCTTCTTTCTTTCTTTCTTTCTGTTTCTTTCTTTCTTAAATTCTTTCTATCTTTTGCTTTTGCAGCTTTGGGGATTGAACACAGGGCCTCACACATGCTAGGCAAGCACTTGACTGCTAAACTACATCCCAGCCTCTTTCTACTGGCTTTCAAACAAGAGTTTTCTGGACACAAAATCTTCACCTAAATGAGTAATGAATAGTGTCCATTTTAAGCTCCACAGCAGGTCCTTGAAAGAGAGCATTAGGTACCAGAAAGATCCACAAATCATGCCACCTATGCAGAGTGCCTGAATTAGAGCAAAGGGCACTTAGCAACTTGAGTTTCTCTTTACTTGATAAACACAAAGCATGCTGGGAAAAGCCAAATTTGCAACAACAGCATAAAGGACCTCTTTTAAAAATTTTTGAGACAGGAACTTGCTTTGCTGGCCTGGAATTAGAGATCTTCCTGCCTCCTCTCAAGTGCTGGGATTACAGGCATGCCTGGCTTGTGAAGTGAGATGAGGAAAAAGGGAAGAGAGTTGACAGGGAAAGTAGGTAGGCAGTTCTGGGAACCCACATTATAGACATATTCATTTATCCACTAATGGATAAAGTGGAAAGAACTCTGTTTGAAAGAGAGTCCTTGTGTCTTAGATGCTAAATTATAACCCCTGGATTATAGACCCAGCTATGCAACTCATTAATTATATGAACTTGAATAATCACACACTGCCTATCTGAGCCTCAAATTGAGGGGTTCTCAGCCTAGAGGGGAAAGGGAGACAGCTTTCTACCAAAGGAACTATGTCACTCTACAGAAGGTGACAAATGATTTGACAAAGTTACAAGTGCCATCAGAGGAGTAGAGAAGAAAGACATGATTCTTCCAGTGAAGGAAAAGGAAGGACAAGGAGGTAGTGGAAATTAGAAAATTCTTACAAGCGTAAGATTTTAGCTATATCTTGAAAGATACAGAGAAAAAATGATGCTCCTTTTCTTTGAAAAGTCTTCTCTCACTGTCACCTCCAACAAATTAGTTGCTCCCTAGCTTGTCCTCCTCTATTCTAAAAAAATTTTTACAGACTGCTGTTATGTATCTGTCTCTCCCAGGAGACAAAGGACTATTTCTGATTCCTTATTGTCTTCCCAGGGCAAGGGATAAAATAGTTTCTCCAGAATTGTGAGTGGAATAAATGAATGAGTCAGTATACAAGCAAAGGAAGGAGGCTTCATGGTCCAAATTCCCCAAATTCCTTAGTTTATCTTACCTCCATGAAGAAACTGAGAGGTTCCCCCCACACACACACACATTTTTTTCCTTGGAGTTCATCTCTCTGCTTACTCAGCCCCACCTCCATTCCAAAGCCTTTCAAGAGGCCCAGGGACAGTTGCAAAGCTATGACCACTTCCTGTGCAAGAGGTTGGTGTCCACACACTCCACCTCAACCCTGGTGATTGCTCTGCATAGGATTGTACTAGGCTTCCTCTGAGAGGATCCCAAAAGCTAATGCAATGTGTAGGATACCCTCAGACCAGGACTGAAGAACTTCTTGTACTTTGAGTCTAAGGACAAGGGTGTCACCGTGAAGGTTTCCTCAAAGCCAATGATATTGACAAGACAGGCAGCAACAATTAATTCACCAGCTACAAATCAACTTTATTCAACAAAGTTGTATTGCACATCTATTGGCCCACATTAAAATTCTTTAAAATAAATATGTGAGAATAATTTCAATAATATATTTTATTTATCCCAATGTATCAAAATGTTACTTCAATCTGTAAGCAATATAAATATTCATTAATAAGATATTTTACATTTGCAGTACATCTCAATTTGAACTAGCCATATTTCCAGTGTTCAATTGCCATATGTGGCTAGTGGCTACCTTATTGAACAGAACAAGTATAAGACGTGGTCTTTACCATCAAGGAATTCACAGCCTAGTCCAGGAACCATGTACTGCTACAGAAGCATATGCAAGGAATGAATACCATACTGGAAGTGCATGTGTAGAAAAGAGCACTGCACCAGGAGTCAGGAGACCTAAGCTGTAGTCTTTTCTCTGACACTAATTCTGTGTATGACCTTGAGCAAATCCTTCTCCATTTCTGGGACTCCATATTTTCAACTTTAAAATGAGCCTAGACTAGATTCATTTACTGAGCAAATTACATGTTGAATGTTATTCTAAGTATTAGGTATTTTGTAAGGCAAATGTGATGCAAACTCATGATATAGAAGTGAACAAGACAGATAAGATGTCTGCCTTCTTGGCATTTAGTGTGGTGGAAATAGCTATTAATCATAAATAGGTGTGACAAAAAAGGGGGATTGCAGAGAACTGGGAGAACATATAATAAGAGTGGTTTCTACCAGGCTTGAATAGGTAAGGAAACTTCTCAGAGAAAATAACTTCTGAGGTAAGATTGAAAAATAAAAAGGAGTAAACCAAATGAATAATAGTTGAAAAGCAGTTCCAGGCAGAAGAAATAGCATATATGAAGACTCTGAGATGGGAAATAATATGTCATACTCCAAGAAGATAAGGAAAGGCTGATATGGCCTGAAATAGAGTGAACAAAAGAAAGAACAGCACAAAACAGGTAGAGAATTATGCAGGGAACCAAACAGAGGAAGGTCTTGTATGCTTGCTGAGGATTTGGGACTTACCAATGAGACATGAGAAGCCACAGAGGACATAAACAATAGAGTACCTTTCTATATCCAAGCCTTGGATTTGAGGAGTTTAGGTAACGGAGACAAAGAGGAAAGAAAAGTTAATTCCAACTGGTTGAATTAGTGACTTTGCAGAAGAAGCAGCATTTAAAAAGAACTTTGAAGATAACAGAAAGCAGGAGGAACCTGTGTGAAAGTATAGAGGTAGGGCTGGGGCTGTAGCTCAATGATAGAGTGCTTGCTTAGCATGCCCAAGGTTCATTCCTCAGCACCAAAAAGAAAAAGTGCATAGGTAAAGAAGGACATAATGAAATTGTGTGACTAAAGGGACTTATGATGCAATGGGGTAAATCTAAGCCTAGGAGTATTTTTGACTAGTGAGGGATGTACTAGAATACTAATGGCCAAAAGGCCCATCCAGCATAGTTAATGGGTTCTGGGAGAAACCAGGAAAAAGATCTTGGACCCACCAAGAGATCCCTTTTGTACTCTGATCACAATAATCAAGAAATATTGTGAGCTCACTAAGTACAAGACACTATTTCAAGACATACACACGCACACACACACATATTAGTTTATGCAGTCTTCACCACAGCCTTACTAGGGAGATACCATATTCTTATTTGATAGCTGAGGATCTCAGGTTCAGGGAGGTTACATCATAGCTAGTAAATGGCAGAGGCAGGATTTAAGTATCATGTAACAATGAATTGGAGGAATCTTGCTGCAATCTACAAAAATACATAATATTGGCTCTGGCTAAAATGTGAAATTTGGGTTAGTTATCTTTTCATTCTACAAGAGCAATTTTATCCTTAAAAATCTCATTAATTTTCAATTTATGCTCATTAGGGCAGGAGCTGTGCTGAAGCTGACCTTTGCTTAGTGCTTAGAAAGATAAAACAAATGAACTAAATAAAACGTGAGTTCCAGGTCTACAGATATAGCTCAGTGGTAGAAAAGTTGCCTAGCATGTACAAGGCCCTGGGCCTCATCTCCAGCAACACACACACACACACACACACACACACACACACACACCTGGGGGAATTCCAGAGAGGTTTTTTTTGTTTGTCTTGTTTGCAGATCGGGGGTTTGAATTCAGGGCCTCGTGCTTGCCAGGCAGGAGTTCTATCAACTTGAGCCACTCCACTAGCTCCCTGAGAGTTGTTTGAAGATGGAAAAGCAAACTGGTTCCACTCCTCACTCCCCACACTTTACTCCAAGAGTTCTCCATAAGCTTTCAATTATTACATAAATAACTGAAGTGACTCTAATCACCATTCTTATCTGTTTCCTACAAAGGTCTACTCAGGAGTTTGTATAATGCAACAGTTTTGAATGGACAGAGAAGGAACGAATGAGGAACCAACTTGCAATAATAGCCTATTGCAAATATTTGGAGGGAACAAAACTGCATTTCTTTAAAGTATATTCTCCTACTACTCAGCCTTTAAAAAAAAGAAGGCAATTTCATTATTTCCAAAACATTGATAGAACTGGAAGACATTATGCTAGGTGCAACGAGTTAGGCACAGAACAGCAAATACTGTATATTTTCACTTATATGTGGAAGCTAAAACAATCAAACTCATTAAAGCAGAGAGTAGAATGGTGATTAAAGAGGCTGGAGGTGAGAGAAAAGAGATGATAGTCAAAGGGTACAAAGTCTCAAACAAAAGGGATAAGTGTGGTGAATATAGTTAATAACATTTCAAAATTGCAGAGTAAATTTCAAATTACATATTCAAAAAATAAGTATTTAAGGCAATAGATATGTTAATTAGCTTAATTTAATTATTCCACAGTGCACTTATAAATCACTTGGTACCCCATGAATACATAAAATACATTTACAATAAAAGCCCATATATATACTAGGGTGGATGCCCCTGGGATCATTGACTTGACACACACAGACCATTTTTATCTCCCTCATGCTTGTTCTGAATAAAGGAAAAACATGTTAGTAGGGATTTCTCTGGACCTGTTTGTGGCTTCTCTGGATGACCCTCATTGAAGGTCCCTTTGAGTCTGGACTGAAAT